TTATAGTTTAAATATTTTAACACCTTGCTAGTCATCAGATTTAGAATACAATGGCAATGTGCATTTGAGCTAAGTAACAGCTAGCATATCATTTTCTCACAAGACTCAAATGCTTTTTTTCTTTATGCTTTCAAGTGGAGGTCAGCTTTTCAATTCATCTCATCTTTCCTGGATTTGTTACTTACTTTATGTTGTGTTCATTAGGAGTTATCTGTTGTACAATCTGACCTCTTCAGTGATGGATCTTGGTATCTTGTCTCTGTTCCCTAAAGGACAAAAGCTTGGTAGCAACTCCATTTTAGAGTGAAAATTAAAACACCTTTGAAAGTTGTACTGAAATTACTAAAGTGTTGATTATGAGATACATAATGTAGTGTTATACCTTAATTTAATTATAATAAGAATTGGCATATTTGTTAAAGAAAACTGCCTCTTAACCTGACCATTCAAAATTACATGCCTTGTTTTTCTTTTCTTCTTCTTTTTTTCAGCCTGTCCCTCAGTCAGTTATAAAAGTAAAGTGGAGACTTCAACTGTTCCCATTGCTCTAATCAGGACTTTATTTGTGAAGGATCTGGCCAAGTCAAGTTTAGTATGAAGTGTAGTAAAACCTATTATTTTACTGTGTAACTAGCTATTTTCGCATGAAACACAATTAAACTTAATGAAAATGTGGTATCAGAATAATAATGTATTGCCTGTCCTTCACTGTCCAGGGACCTTGGAAACAAATATATTCAATCTGAAGATAAGATCTAATATGACAACTCGTTATTGTATTCCTACTGATAACATTTACCAGTCAAAATAACTTCCTACCTCAGTTGTTATAACCCTTTGCCACAACACTGAAATATGTTGTGTCTCAGTGCTAACACAACAATCACTTAAATTCCCTGTAAATACTAAACAAAAGGAAGTATACTGCTTCCAAAACAGCTCAATTTTCTGCTTGTGTAAGCTGTATTGGCACCTGTTTTTATGATTATATTAGATTTTAGGTTCTCACAGCTGTGACTATGAAGAGAATTGTCTTCAGAGTTATAACGCCATGTAGTTCAGAGAAAGCCTAACATTTTGGAGGAATATATTACCTTCATCTTCAGGACTGAAGAATAAGTAAAATAATAATTTCCATAGTTTGCACCTACATTCTATTCTTTTGGCACAGCTACTGGACCAGATTTTTTATATTGATTTATCCTTCCTTTTATTCATCTCATATGATTAAAGTTACCTGTTAGCTTCTTCCATGAACATTTGATAGTTATTCGGCTGGTGAGAAACTTTCTGGAATCACTGTGTTGCTGAGCTGGATTCAGACCTAAACCAATTCAGTCCAGTCCACACTTTCATACCTTATTTCACCAAGATCCATTTTAATATTTTCCTCTTCCCTTTTTTCTAGGTTTCCCAATTTATCTCTCACATCAGATTTCAAAGATCAAAATTTTGTATACATTTCTCCATTCTCTTATGTGTAGGGCCTACCACATCTCCTGCCCACATCATTATTCTTGATTTAATCTCTCTAACAGTAAGCTATATATATGAATAGCACAGATTATGAAGTTATTTGAATATTTTTCTCTGATGCTTTTACTTCATACGACTTTGGTCCACATATTGTTCTCAGCATATCATTGTTAAGCACGAGATACAAGGGGTATTAGGAAAGCAACTTCCAGTGAGCTGTCAACAAAATAAGCAATGAGAAAAAATTATTATACATAAAGAATATGTACATACCTAAGCTACTTCTCAACATAGTCACCACCAGAAGTGAGGTACTTGTGTCAGGGACCAGATTTTTGCATCCCTGTATCAAAGAAGTCTGTTGCCTCTGAGCTCAACCACGTTTTGACACCTACCATCAACTTCTCATTACTGCTGAAGCGCTGTGATCTCAACCAGTTCCTCAGCTAGGTAAACAGGTGGTAGTCTCTCAGAGCTATAAGGAAGATGGTCAAACAGTTCCAAGTTGAAAAGATCTGGCAATGCTTGAGTGCAAGCAGCTGTATGATGATGCACATTATGATGGAGGAGCACTACGCCAGATGTCATTTTTCCATACCTTTTGTTCTGAATGGCCCTACACAATTTTCTTAGTGTTTTACAATACACTTCTGAAATTATTATGGTCCCTTCTTGCATGAATTTCACCATCAGACCCCCTTTTCTGTCCCAGAAAACAGTTGCCACCAGCATTCTGGGAGACAACGTTTGTTCGATGCAGCCACTGTTTTGACTGCTCTTTGATTTTAACATTCACAAATGAAATCCAGGTTTCATCACCTGTAAGTCGTACAATGTGATTGAGAAATTCATTATCATCTTTGTGGCATCGCTCTGAAAAGTCAAAGCCCAAGCCATTCTCTGCAATTTGTGCACCAATTATTGTAGAATGTAGTATGTAGATGTTCATGTTTTATATGGATTATATGTATGTTATGAGGAGAGGGTGTCAGGTAGCTTCAATAAGTTTGTGCTTCTGGAAGATTCTGTGGCCAGTATTCTTCATAGTCATAAGCTCATATCTCACAAGTATTATGGTTATTTGAAAGAGGACAGATCAGAAGATTTTATGCACTTCAACATTCTTAACAGGTAGCCTAATGTCTCCGTTCCGCAGTAGTCCCAGAAGTGACCTGTGTGCCAAGGTGTGCAACTAATGACATTGCTGTGATGTAGTGCTTTACATTGGAAATACTGTATTGCATGAATATAAAAGTCACAGCACTTGCATCAACTTTAATGGAGCAATCCTGGTGATCAAAGTAACATGCTGAAGATGAGTCAGTGACTTATAGTACATCTTGCCAGCCCATTGTCTTGTAACTACACAGGACTACAGTAGGAAATAACCTGTATGAGGTAAGTATGCTTGTCCATCTTTCATTCTTACTTTTTTAAAAGTAATCTCCATGAAAGTGCCTGTTTTAAAAATTCTTGCCATACCACTGTAGGAATGCCCAGAAGTTTATACACACTGTTGATTTAGCTGAGTCATGTGGTCCATACATGCATTAATTTTTAAATTCACCTTAGTGAAATAAAACACTAAACCTTATCAAATTTGACACATCTGACTTGATTAACAGGCTTAGTGATGTGAGATCTGAAGTTTTCACAGTGGAAAAAGTTAGTAGAATCATCTTGGGCTGTGTTCCATGTAGACTTGAAAGGATTCTGACGATGGTGTATACTGTACTTATTTTGGCTTGTTTTGGACTTCATCCATCATCTGGTATGTAAAAGACAAAAGACCACAACGTTTCGGAGCCTGGATCTGTCTCTGTCCTCAGGTGGGTAGGGCAGGATAAACCTACTCAGTTGGGCCTGTTAGAAAGAGCTAGTTTCAATCACTGGACAAACCCTGGTCTGTAGAAAACAGCCTATGGACACCCAATAACTAAGTCTTTCCCAGCCTACAGTGTCTTCACCTGCTGTTGCCTGGTAACGACTCTCAGTAGCAATGTTCCCCTTATTCTGGATTCCCAAACTATAGCCATGCCTCAGCTACCAGCTTCTAAAAGCAGCAGCTCACAATGACTGAACCTCAGTTCTCTGACTAACTCACCAACCAACTCTTCACTTTCCTGCTCTTCATCTAAATGAACTGAACTGCACTCATAATGTCTTCTATGTCTTCTTCACTAGTTGTTTGCTGGTAACAGATCTTAACAATGTCCTCTGCTAATGCCCTTACCAGCTGAAGAATATCCCACAAATGACTAAGTTCTAAACTTGTCCTGCTTATAACCCCTCGGCACAGACCACATAGAAAACACCGCTCTTTTTTGTTCTATCCATTGTTGCATGTTCAGCCATCAGCAGGGACCACAAAGAAAACACCGCTTTCCAACCAATCCACTGGTACTCTGGTCGCTGCTTAGCAACGGCTGTCTCACTGTTTGTTTCGTGGTCATTGTCTAACAACATGCCTATACACCACAGTATCTAAAATTAGGACTGGACTGAACTGGAACACGACGTTTACTGATGTGCTTTTTTTTTTTTTTTGTGAACCTTCAGGTTTTAGAGTACAAGAGTAGATATTAGATAGACATTACTTAAAAATTTCAAAATTGAGATGAATATTATATAAGTTTTAAGATTCTAAATAATTAGGATGGACTTTTTTTATTGCTAGTGGGGTGGAAAGATAGATGGGCGGATAGAAGTGACAAGAAGACGAGGAAGAAGACGTAAGAAGATGCTGGATGACCTTGGGGACAGAAGAGGATACTGTCATTTGAAGGAGAAAGCTCTAGATCGCATTAAGTGGAGGAATTGTTTTGAAAGAGACTGTGGACCTGTCGTCTTGACAGATTACTGATGATGATGATGAGTGGGGTGGGACTAAGTCCCTTGTACTGCAGCTACTTCTGGCCTATTGTACCAGCCCCAGATGATAGGCAAGGGTAATTGTGGAGCAATTGGTGGAATGAAGATTGGCAGGGGAAACGGAAGTACTTGGAGAAAACCTGCCCCAGCGCCACTTTGTCCACCACAAATCCCACTTGACCAGACCCGTGATGGAACCCGGGCCGCCACAGTGGGAAGCCAGTGACTAACCGCTTGAGCTATGGCGCGGCCTTTGGGATGGACTTACTAGCTTGGCCTCTGCTGTATTGTCCTTTACTGTGTATGTATTTTAATTAATGCTTTTATCTTTCAAAATATTCTGTACAGGCAGATATGTGACATACTGATACACTGATCCATGAGCTTTCTGTTTGTATGTGTGTGTGTGTGTGTGTGTGTCGCTCTCTCTCTCTCTCTCTGCTTCTGTTATTGAAATCTTCTTTATCAACTGGAAGTTCATCAGAGTCATCTAGGTCATATACTTGACATACACACGACTTCTTAGATTTGTTATTCATGGCATATGTGTTATAACTAATAACAAAGAATCTGTACTACAATGTTTTATCTTAGTCAATCTGAAATAATTGATTCATGTTTGTTGCTTATAATGAGGAAATACTTAGTAAGCTGGAGTTTCTAAAGTGCATCTTCTAGTGAAGTGATTATGTATTATCAGATACCTGCATAATACATAATTTATTCTTCAATTTACTATGTGGCCCAAGTAAGCCATGTCACATTTTTGCCCTGAACAAACTAGTGTTAGTACTGTTTATCAAGTGTGGAGAGTTTTTGCAGTACTTCTTTTACCAGTTATATGTAAACTCTTCTTCAGTTAGCAATACCAGAAAGTTTAAATACATGTGAGTTTAACTACATATGTTACATGCTTATTATGGTATCTTGCTGTTTTATTTCCTTGAGTTGATGTATCACTCTTTACTTAGAAGACATAAGTGATGTATTCCATTTGTATGTTTATACACATAGGACAGAGCACAAAATTTATGAAGAGGACATATTGGAATTAGACCAATAATACAAATTTCTGATACAGGTCAGTATTTTCACAAATTTTATTTTATTACCCCTTTCAGGACTGAAATGTAGATCTATACATCCACTTCCCCATACATCTTCATGGTGTAGTGCTTAATTTGTTGATCACAGAAAAAACTTTACCTTCAGGACTAAAAACAAGATATCTTGTTCAGAAACATGATTCTTTTACACTTCAGATATTCTTCTGGTTTTAAAATTTCTATAGAAATAAATGTGCGCTACATGCTATTCTTAGGACTTTTGACTTACTGCTTGTGGCTTTTTATCTTGGAAACTATCATGGAGATATGAAAACAAAGGAAAATTTCATATCTTTGATTTGGTTAGATCCAACACAAATCAATTCAAATAACCTAGTTCAAGTTACAAAGATTTTAATCTTATCTTGCATAATGTTCATACTTTTTAATTCTTATAGAAAGACACAGTTTGGGAGACAAAGAATGATCCCTTATTTATTTATTTTTGTATTTATTTATGTTAGTTACAATTCCTCTGGGAATTATAATCCATGCATGTTATTGCACATATGGAATCCTGCGAAATTGTTACTGGTACAGTTCTCTGAAGAACTGTCTGGAACTTATAGTCTGAAGTGATGTTGGCCATTCATTTTAACAAGTTATTCAGGAATGTAATATGACTGTGTACAGATATTTTCATGGCTCTTTTGTTATGTTCAGACAATGCTGTGATATGAAAATATTTTCTTAGATTAGATATTTTTCACTTTGTTACCTTGATGATGGTGATCTTCATTTTGTTATTTCAAAGCGAGATAGTAATAAAATATAAAAAAAAAATCTAAATTTTAAATATGACATTGCTTAATAATGAGATTACATTAAAAGTACTATTTATTTATTTCAGTGTTCACAGTTTTTAAAATGTTTCTGAAACTCACTTAAGGGTCTTGAATTAAGGATCTTGTAGAAGATGCTTCTTCTAATTCTTGGTGAAAACCTGAGTTCAGGGAGTTGAGCCTTCTTCTTGTAATTTAACAACTTCCTTTTTTTCATTCCTTAGTCTTTTTTAACAAATGAAGGAGTTACATGTATGCAAGGAAATAACAATAGACAAAGAACGTTTTGAAGAACCAAACTGGGAACTTGCAACCAAGAGCATCTAAAGTGGGGTACATATGCATGATGCAATAGAATGAAATGTAAACATGCAGACTGCATTGTGAAGTAAATCATTCCTAGATTTTCCTAACATATAAGCACCAACTTCATATGTGAAACTTCTCATCACATTATCTGGTGAATATATGAATAGGTTTCATCATCAACATCACAGATTGGCCTCTATGATCTGTTCTGACTCCAGGATTAAAATTGGTTCTCCCAAATTCCTCAGGCCATCCTGTGTTCCCTGTTAGTTAGTTCTTTGTTTTATTGGTGACCATATAACGTGCTGATGTTTTAGTAGTATCAGCTCTGAGAGCTCAGTCCCCTTTCTCTGTTGTGTCTTCATTGTCCTTGATTCAGATTCTTATAATAAAGTTATAAGAGCCATCGTTTTATAAAGTTTTAGGACTGTATCAATTCTTCCTTTCCCTAATATAATTTCTTTTATTATCCTAAGCAGATCACTTTGGCCATGCAACCTAAGGCCTGAAATGTCTTCGCCCACTGTAATACTGGAATCATGGGTTCGAATCCCACTCAAGGCATGGATGTTTGTCTGCAGTTATCCTGTGTTTGTATTGTCCTGTGTAGGTAGTGGCCTTGCATCAGGCTGATCCCCTATCCAAGAAGTCTTACCAACTATCTAAGATTAAGAAACTGAAGGGAACTGAAATGTTTCATGGATGCCCTATGCTCCAAGTGGGAGCAACAGGAATAAATGAATGTATGGATGGATATTGTCCTAATAGTTGCTGAATATGTGCAATTTTAAGTTTCACATTTTTTGTCTAAAAATAAGAGATTACACATCCTGAGCAATTAAAAGAGTTGACTTGTAGTGTTATTTAGTTATTTATTATGAATTTAGCATTAGATGGTTTGTTCCTTTGAAACTAAATATTATAGTTTTCTTTATCTCCATAAATCTGTAAATCCTATATTCTTGCAATAACATATAATGTATGAAGTGCTCTTTATGTATTATCTTTCAAGTCTGAAAATACAATCTAATCATCAGTAAACAGTAGTGTGTTCAGAATTGTGTCCTGAATTTTATTTTTAAATTGCTCAGTCATTTGCTCTTGATTGAATCGATATGCAAATTATATAGAATAGGTAGCAGTGGGCACCTTTGTCTGACTGACTCTTTGTGTAACTTCTGTAAATATTTTACTTGTTTTGGTTCCTGTATTAACTGGAACTGTCTGTACACGGAGACTTTGTATGGTTCTCACCTAATGTGGTATAACTATCTTAAATAATATTTCCCAGATTTTGTTCTGTTTATTATGTCAAAAACATTTTCAAAATCAGTAAAGCCATGTATGCTGTGGTGAATAGTTGAATAGCTAAAAAAATATGACTTGTCTTTTCCATAGAAATCATGCTGATCTTCAAAATCTTGCTAGTTTCATTACTGGGTGTTGGCATCAGCAGCCAGAGAACAACTTCTGCACCAAGTCGAGGTGCATGCAGGTTATGGTGCCAGTTACCATGCTTTTATCCTTGGCAGACAGTGCAGTACTACTGCTGTGGCACTCATGGTAAGATATTCAAGATGGGTGAATTCAGGATTAGCCTTACTGCACTGAACAACATCTGTTAACTATTAAGAAGTTCTGGTAATGGCTTATGACATATACTTTCCTTAAAACATTACAATCTCTGCGATGACACTAGCATGAATTATAGATGAGTATTCATACAATCTGATAATCTATTTATGTGCATAATAACTGTTGTTATAGGTTCCATCTGTGTTAAATTTGTCAGATATAACTTCAGGGTTTCATAATAAAATATTTAAGTTTGTTTAAGATTTATCTGCAGATCAAATTTAATTTTGTAGTTGATGTCCCGGGTTCGATTCCCAGCGCTACCAGATTTTCTGACAAGTAGTGGGCCTGGAACAGGGTCCACTCAGCATCAGGATAATTGAGGAGCTATTTCAAGGAAATAGCGGCTCCAGTGTAGAAAACCGAGATTAACGGCCGTAGGGATCCATTGCACTGACCACATGACATCCTCTATCCGCAAAAGTTGGCACTAACTTCGCTGACAAGCGGCGGTCGCTCAGTTGGTCAGTATAGTTCGCTTGTGGACTACAGTCCATGGAGTTTAGTTTTTAGTTTAGTTTTAGTTAGCCATACATCATGTTACACAATCATACTCTCAGTAAAAATATTCACTGTTCTATATTTTTTGGGGGGGGCGGGTCTTTGCTGTGTTGTCTTTGTATGTATCAGTTCTAACTTCACTAGTATAAAGATAAATTGTATTCTCTATATATTTCTTGAGTGTTTTCTCTTCCCACAGTTAAGTTTGTATGGAACAAAAGCAGATGCTCTTGACAAACTCCCTTTAGCCCTTTACTGCAGGTATTACATTTCCTAACTATGTGCTGGATGTTGATATGTAATTCATACCTATTGCTGTCTCATATAAGCTATCTATTGCTCATTTGTAAGTAACTGAACTAAATCATGATTATTTAACTTAAGCACAGACATGCAAAATATACTGTGCTATATATGTATATCAGAGAATAATATTTCACATTATACCATGAAGATAACACATTATGTTTCACGTGGAAAAGTTGTGATTTCCTCGCATCTTGTCATACTATAAGGTAGCAGTTGGCCTACTCCCACAGTAAAATGTTATGTAGTCATGTTTTTTTAATTCATATTTGTTTGTATATTCTTTTTTGATAACGTGCAATAATCCATTTTATTTCAGTGAAAACTGGCAGGTGTCCTCCAGTTCGGCCCATCTGCCCACGAACATTAATGTCATCTGTAGTCAGAGGCAGTACAATCTTGTCTCCCTCAATTTGTCAGAGTGATCAACAGTGTTCAGGCACTGACAAGTGTTGCTATGACCAGTGCCTCTTACATTACACCTGCAAGCCAGCAGAATAAAATGTGTCTCACCAAACAAATAAGTGCAATTTTACAATAATAACATCAGTGTTTAATGTAGGATATTGTAATTTATATATTTATGTACGTACTTCCTTGTGTGTGAACATGGAGAAAAATTACTTCCAAAATGGTTTCATAAATTACAGAAATGTTAAATAATTATAAACTTATATATCTGTATACAGTTAGTGATCTTGACTTTGTCTGGAGAAAGAGACTAGCTCTATTGATTGGGCCCAACTGAGTAGGTTTCTATTTGAAGATAGAGACAGAATCCAGCTCTGAAATATTTTGTTTGAAATAAAAAACAGGATGATGGATGATGTCCAAAAAGAGAGTAATTGTAGACTTAATTGGTTCACACACATACCTGCACGTGCACATGCACGCACAAATATATGTATATTAATTAAATTTATATGTGTGTATAGTAGGAACTCCAATGTGCATACTCACAGTTCAATCATAACATCCAATTCTGAAAGAGTGCAAAATACAGTTTTCAAGTAACTCTTCTACACAAGCATTATTTATGCATATGACTAAAGCTGTTGATAGAGGGACTGTTCTTGGCAGAATCACCTACCGGCAGATGACACATTTTTACTTTGTGAATTATTACTTCAAGGAGAATATTACACAAGAATGCACAAAAGGATAGAGTAGAGATGAAATTAAGGTGGCTTAAACATGGTCATTTCCATGGGTGCAGGTGCATGGGTGTACATTAACAAGAGCCAAGAAATATCTTAAAGTAAAAAGATTCATCTTTGAATATTTTTAGTGTGAAATGTACTATGAACTGTTAAAGATGAGGTAGAGATAATTTCCTATATAACTCCATATTCTTGTTACTCTATCAAAATTTATAGAAGGTAAAGTGCTTTTCATAGCCACAACTGTGAGAAATTCAAATCCGTCATTATGAAACAGAAGTCTTTATTCTTTGCAGTTTGTACAATATTATAGAACTATTATTTTTGTCAAGCTTTCCTCCTCATTAAATAAATGTTTGTAATCACAAAAAATTCTCTGTGCAGAACTTTGTATGCGACACTTATACCATGTAGGTACTACCATGTAGATCTATCGCCATTTGTATAATTCTAGCTTATTTGTTCTTATTAATTGCTTACATTTTAAAATTCAAGTGCAAAAATTATACATACGATTTTGCCCTGCATATTACACTTGTCTCAATTTTGTGCCTTTGACTATGAGGATAGTTATCTCAAGTAAGTCAATAGTTCACAGACATTTCAGAGGAATTTATTACCACCATCTTCAGGGTTAAGAGTAAGCGAAGCAAAAGACCAGCAAAAAACCTACCCACGCAGGCAGTAAAACGGCAAAACAATTTCTGGACAAACAGGGTTCAACATGCACTACTGGAAGGTATCATTAATGAATATAAAGTAAACAAACTGTTATAACTGCTTTGGGTAGTTAACTATTATAATGAAAACTGAAAATAAATACTTCTTCACCCATCACACAGGACTGAGCTATTACTGCCAGACTGTGTTTGTCAAATGTCGTCCACTTACATACAAGTAACATAAATCATTGTTACTAACAGCAAATCATGAACCATCACAAGCATCCATGTTTTGAAACTATTAAGTACATAATGTCTTTTTTTTCAAGTTGCATTTACTTGAAATCATCTTCAGGCTGACTTTATTTAAGGGTGTAATTGAACGTACACCCATAGGCCTATATTTTGACCCTTCTAACATCTTCATAGAACTGTCAGTAGAAAACTCATTATGAAAGTATCATTATAAACCTCTATAAGCTTCCTTCACTTTAATTGCGCGTAAGGTACCTTTTATTTATATCTCTAATTTAATTCTTTTGCACGTCTTTTGACACGTTTTGGTTAAATACCATGTAAGGCATTTGTGTTATGAATGACTTAACTTACTTACTTACTCATGGAGCTTAGCCCTTCTGGAGGAGCCGCCAATTCTGTAGCTACTCAAAAATTTCCCAGCATTTGATGGAACCCAAAGGTTCATTACCATGTTCTCGAGAGCCCTCCACTGATCCCTATCCTGAGCCAGATCAATCCAATCATATTTTTTTTGTATGACTTATCAGTTGTGCTAAAATGAAGCTCGTTTTATTTATTTTAAGAGTATCTTACTTATGGACTTAAATTAATATTTGTGTACATATTATGAGTCCCTTTACAGATACTTATTGAATTCAATTTACAGTACATACATAAACGGTCTAGAGCACCGAGATTAACGGCCGTGGGGATCCGTTGCGCCGACAAGCGGTGGTCGCTCGGTCGGCATAGTTCGCTTGCGGACTATAGGCCACGGAGTTTTATACAAACATGACAAAGTATACGTTTCTTTCATTCACTTTCATTCTTGTTACGGTCTCTATCATACAAGGGCCTAAACGCACCTTTGGCGTGTTATTAATGGAGATAAAAATATCCTGAATAAGTTACAAGTATCTGTAGGAGACAAAGGGATATTACATACAGCATTTGAATAAAATTCAGTGACCGGTGGTGAAGACTGAAAACAACGTTCTTCTAATTAGACTTTCCTTCAGACTCACATACTCGACACACGATCAGAAGATAAGCAGACTGAGAGCAAAATTTACTCTCAGTGGCTTTTATGTAAAGCTTATTTCCTCTTCCATGTACTGTCCTTACAACGCAATATACTGTGACGAATTTACTCAAAGCATTGCTAGGCAACGGCTCGGTAAACACCCCGCGACCTAGGTGCACTCGACATTAGAAGGACATCCATCTCTAGTCCACGCCCGAAATACGCGCACGCAGCAATAGGAAGAGTGTTCTCTATTGCTAGACAGCAGCCAGTGCGCCAATGGACTGGCTAAGAAAACATCACGTGGTAACCCCAATAGAGGCATCACGGAAAAATAGAGGAGACTATGTTTTCTGTTCCTGGTCCGTGCCGAGAGGATATAGGAGAATGCGGGAATGGGAATTCAGTTCAGTTCACCCCGTGTGGAGGCGGGATCGAATACCTCCACCGTGACCCTGCGAGTCGTAGGAGGCGACGAAAAGGGAAGTCTCAAATCTGAGACAGTAAAATATGGTCGCGAGTCCCAAGGGACTCGGACCCGAGAAAAACTGCGCTGGCAGGACCAGCAGCGTGTACAAGACAGACCCGTCCTCTCGTCAGAGATGGCGCCCCACAAAAATAATACCATAGCTGTCAAACAGTAATAAATAGCTGGTCATGAGCCCCAGATGAGGCTCGACACCAGGACTGACTGACTGACTGACAGACCGTCAGTCGCAATGTGACTTTGACTTTGAATTCGGTTCACACCGTGTGGAGGCGGTTTCGAATTCCTCCACCGTAGCCCTACGAGTCGTAGGAAGCGACGAAAAGGGAAGTCTGGAATCTGAGACAGTAAAATATGGTCACGAGCCCCACGGGACTCGGACCCGAGAATTAATGTGATGGTGAGGGCCTCTCGTCAGACAGCGCGCCCAACATCAACAAACCCGCAATTTTCTGACAGTAATAAAAATCTGGTCTTAAGCCCCAGATAGGTGCTTTATTCCAAGGCAGACTGGCCGACTGACCGTCGGTCATAACTCATAACAGACAGGCTCAGAATTTCAGTTCGGTTGTCTGTAGGATACAGCGACGAGAAGTTAGTAGTTGGAGAAGAAGTAGAAGTCGGCCTGAGAAAATTTAACGTGTGATTTGAAGACTCTGTGTGCTGCAGTACAGTGATATTGGGAGTGTGTGATTTAGTGAGTCTTTTATAGTTCCTGTGTTATAGATCCATTGAAAGGAAACGGACAGTGAGGACTAATGGAAATAAACTGAGAAGATTAGCGTGGAGTGATTTGTAGTGTGAAAATCATTAAGAGTATTGTACTTATTTGTAGTTACGACCTGTAAGTGGTTAACAAATCCAATTACCAATCCGAACCCCGTCTTTAGTCACTAAAACACGTGACAATGCCTTTCCTTTCTTCATAGTTTTAATTTGCTTATCAAAGGTAGGTGAGCGTGGAGACTGAGATTATCGGCTCCATTAATATTCAGTCTATCATCTTCAAAATGGCGACATTCCAATTGCCTTCTTAATTCCTGGAACAATAAGACGTGCAAGAAAATATGTAAATCGAATTTGTTATACTAACCATGGTCTGAACTGTCTTCGCTCGCTTGGAAACCGGGATCGTGAGTTCGGATCCCACTCAGGGCATTGATATTTAGTTTGTGTGTGTGCGTTTTTCTGTGTTTGTGTACAGGTAGAGGCTTTGCGACGAGCTGATCACCCGCCCAAGGAGTCCTACCGAATGTGTAAGATCTAGAGAAACCGAAGTGAACGGAGAAGTTCATGGAGGTAGGCCTAGGCCCACTGGGGCTGTAGTGCCAAGGAAAAAAAAAACATGGTTTGAATCCCCAATTAATTTCTTTGTGCTTGTCCCCCCCCCTTTTTTTTTTCCTTCCTCTCTTCAAATTATGGAGCGTCACGATGTCGGTATTCTAATTAATAGATCTTCGTGTTCTGGAAGTCCTATTTCCAAATCTCAGCCTAGAGGAATTTCATGGTTTTCTTCAGTCCATGAAAAAAATACCGGGAGAATACAAACACATACTTGTATGTGACATTCTTTTCAATTCATTATTCATAATTATCCTACCCTTCAGCATTGTAAAATTGGGGCATTAAAAAACGCCATTAAATAAAAGCATATATCGTTATGGACACCATCCTTTCCGTGTCCAAGCGAGATGTTTCTGAATCTCTTACGATAACTACGATTTTTTTGAGAGTAGGTTGGTGTGATCGTACTGCTTTAAACCCATGTTCGAGATATATCCAGTTCAAATCTCTACCTGAAGATCTACTGATTATCCCGAAATGTTCTGTCTTCTGAGATATAACTCTTCATATCCACCGGTGTTAAAATCTTAAATCCTACACACTTATTGTCCTGACTGAGAATTTTCACATATTCCTCGGACTCTCTACACGAATGTCGAGATAATGCCTTGAAAGTAAGCTACGAATATCCCCTTCCAAATCCTTATCCATTTGCCATTCACGAGCACCTTTCCATCTCGTTCGATGTTATAAAATTAGGGCCATACAAATGGCGGTACATGGGTCGCACGCAGCAACCAGTTGGTTTTGCGCAGCCCGGGGTTTGTCTCTCCACTCCTCAGAATATATTCTGATGCTCTCTTCCTGTTTAGATAAGCCGGCGAATAGTATAGAGGAATTACAAGTAGTTCAGGTTAACATCCCTTGTAATCTCTTTAATGATTTCACATGACGCAAATAACTTGGAGAAATATGATATTAGTACAAATTCAAGATCATTTTCAGCATCTAAAGAGTCTAGCAATTCGTCTTATTTGCGTACTTCATAAATCTGGTCGCTGGACAGCAGATATACAAACCGTATGCTGAAAAAATATATATGTTCTGTAAGTACCGAAAATACAGTGCAGCCCCTCAGTGGTGTGAGGTTGGACAGCCCTGCCATACAGTACAACGTATGCAGTTTAAGTAACTTAATATTCTGCTTAATCATATTCCTCAGGACGTATTTACGGTCTGAAGATATTGGTTCTCAAGATAGTTGTAACGCTTGTTGCATAGGTCACATAAAGCTTGCAATATTTTTCTCTCTTCTTTGTTCTACTCACAAATTCATCACTGGTTTTGAAGCACCACTTCAATCTCTGAACCATGCAATGAACTGACAGAGAGTATGAAACATGTACGATGTAATGTCAGTTTTATATGTTATATTTAATGACGGAACCAAGCAAGAAACAAGCGTAAAGAAGGTAACAAGCAGAACTTCTTGCTACCTATTTGACTATGGTTTCTTTCTTGGCTTATTCTTCGACCCTGAAGATGGAGGTGGCACGTTCTTCCTGAAAGTCTGTTGACTTCCAACACACCTTACCGCGTTGTATCCCAGGAGATAGAAATCTTCATCTTCATGAGAATTTCAATTCCTACACATGTAATGACGGCTTGAAATTTACAGGATAGCAACTTTTGATGTATTTTCAGTTCTACTGCTTTTCTGTTGTCTCTGGTAGAATGATGAATAAGTCGTGTGGATTGGTGGAAATGAAAGTTTAGTTGTCAAAATATTATACGTCCTACTTTCTCAACTAGAACGGGAAGGAATTAATGAACCATACAGAGTGTGAGTTAATTCAGTTTTTAATATTTTATTTATATACATGGGTTACTGCAAAACACTTAAAAAGTTACTCGACAATTGCAAATGTATGGGTATTGAACAAAGTTTGTTTCTCTGTCATGGTGTCTAACATGCACTCACATTTCCTATTCTAAAACATGTAAACACAAAATATGCATCATTACATCACAAAACACGACACAGAAATCTCACGATCACAGCAGAACAATTACATACAATAAATTTTATGGCCTAGATCCACAGTGCTTTCACGTGATTTATATATTTAAAAATTTGTAATGCTTAAGGTGAGAAAGGAGCACATTAAATCAGCTAAAATATGGGATATATATATATACGATATATTAAAATGAATCACTCTTTTGACTGTGCATCATTTCTGCTTGGCTGATGGTTAAACTAATGAGATCAAGGTGGCCAGTCTCAACTAATGAGATTAAGGTGGCCAGTCTCTTTATATGGGTCGATGCTTGACAACCCCAGACCAAATAATGTGCACAGAACTCCAGATTCATAGATGCAAAACAGGATTGGCAACTTTTCATCAGAATACTAAATTATATTATTAAATTTCGTTATCTGAATGAGATGTCTCACGTGTAAAACTGTGACTTCCGGTTTGTGATGGCGCTCGAAAAAATATAATTACTCAATACATAATTCACTACTTTCAGCCACTACAAGTTGTTGCTGGTGGCCGTCAGTTTCTTTTAGGTATGCCGTGTAACATTATTTTGAGTTACGGCTGTCCCTTGCAGAGCTCTATTTCATATAAAACACTGAAATTAACACCGGAAATTTGGTAAATTGTTATAACTGATCACTTAAAAATAAACACAAATTATCAGTGGATGTTGAAGACCATCGATAGAAGGCTGGATAAAATTGCATAATGAGGAGCTTTGTAACTTCTACTCTTCGCCAAATGTAATTAAATTGACCAAGTCAATGAGTCTGTAATGGACAGGACATGTAACACTCATGAGGAGAAAACGAATCCATAAAAGAGTTTTGATGGGAAAGCCAGAAGGAAAGAGACCACAAGAAGGACCCAGACATAGGTGAGAAGATAATATTAAAATGTATCTTAGAGAAATAATATGAGATGGTATGGACTAGACTACTCTGGCTTAAGATGAGGACCAGTGGGGGCTCTTGTGTATACTGTAATGAACCTTAGGGCTCCATAAATGTTGGGAAATTCTTGAGAGGCTGAGCGATCAGCAGTTTCTCAAGAAGGACTCAGCGCCGCAGAAATACTTATACTGAATATCATCTGTCACGTCAATTGTAATGGTTTCTGACTCGGGACAACCTTTCATAACTTCAGTCACTGTGACTGATGTTAGCTCTTCATAACGGGCCCAGCAGAGTAGATGCTCCCCAGCCTGTCACCTGGGAATGGAAACAGATCCAGTTTCCGAAATATTTTATTCTTTTGAATACCGGCTGATGAACAAAGCCCAGAAACTGAGTAATTCCGATCGTCTATGACGTCATAGAATTCGTGTTCTGTGAACTCAGAACCAGACGTTTTCAACTTCAGATCACATATTTCTTGCTACTAAATAACGTACGAGGTACTTAAGATAGCACTGTGGAGGTTAACGCGCTGCTTCATACGAGGAAATTCTTGCAAATTTCGGCCAAGAGACCGGCTGCTCTGTCTACCTTCCACATCCTTTCTTATGCATAATTCATTAATCATCTTGTCGTCCGGCGCTACACAGTCTGAGCTATTGAGGACCTCATAAAATAAGCCATAAACAAACACAGAAGATATTTCCACAATTGTCTCCAAGTTTCAAGCAGTTTAATTCAGAATTTGCAGCTTACAACTTCGCTGTTTATTTGAATAGTCTATGGCGATTAGTGTTCGTTTCGTAATATTCTGGGTATAACACAATGCCTGGGAATAAAACACTACAGTGTGATCGGAGAAAGTTTCAAACGAGGGAGCAGGTTCTTCCGAAAGGCCGATAGCGACGTGTCGACAAGTAAAAATACTACCAACCTTACAGAAGAACTGAAGAAGTGGCAGCAAGTTCCACCGAAACGCTGGTGGTAAGTTTGTCTCCCAGATGAAATCTTCTGTGTACTTGTAAAGCAATAATCTCACTATGTCGTTGCCATTAATTTTGCTGCGGTCATGTGATGATGGTGATGGTGATGATGATGTGCGGAATGATGACCCATGACATAACTACTGATATCACCCGCTGAACCTGGTGCTACGGGTGCTGGAGGCGGTGGAAAACCAAATATCTGATGATTATTAAGTTGGTGATGGTGATGATTTGGGGCAGTTAAGCTCGAGTAGACGCCAGTTGCTGTTGTTGTCGAAGCAGGTGTGCTGGTGGGTATCATCTTGTTGAACTGGTGTTCTGGAGGTTCTGACTTGATAGGTGGGGCAAGCAGGGACGTGTGGCCCAAGTACGGATGAGGGTCGTCCAAGGATGTCTTCGACTGGTGGACAGTGCTGCCAGCCCCATCATTTGACTGCGCGTGTCCTGGGCTGAGTTTGGGCTCTGAATAAAAACGAACATAATTGTGAGCTACTGTGTTAGAATATTTAGACAAAGTTTTGTGGCTTTCTGAACCAAACTCGGGTCCATTTTTAACCTACTCCCATTACTTATGAATGAAAATATGCTTATGATATTATCATGCTTTATGTGGTTCAAATAGGTCGACTTTCACGAAACCGAGATGAATATTACGCCATTAGAGGCCATTTAATCACCATTTTTTATTTCTCAACTCAATAATAACAGCATGGCGAATGTGCGAGCTTCAGAACTGAGAGTATATTTAGTGTCATCTGAAGTATTGTCTCAGTATTATATATGCTAATAGATCTGCGAAAATATGCCATTTATATTGGAATAGTTTTATAGAATAAAACAAAACTATACCAACATACTGCTGTACCATTCATTATGAAACCATTAGAACTGGGAATATGAAATTCAGTATGGACATTATTTTAAACATTCTTACAAGTTACGAATGAAGTTTTGTTTATAAATCAACTATAATTGCGCTCTTCTGCAGGAGTTGCATCGAAGAAGAACTGCTACGATACCTTTCGGCGGGCAATTTTAAGAGGCTACTATTGTAATATTGCCGGTCACGGTAGCCGAGCGGTCTAAGGCATGCACTGTCTTCGCTCGCTCGGAAGCCGGGATCGTGGGTTCGAATCCCACTCAGGGCATGGATGTTTGTGTGCGTTTTTCTGTGTTTGTCTACAGGTAGAAGCCTTGCGACGAGCTGATCACTCGCCCAAGGAGTCCTACCGTATGTGTAAGATCTAGAAAAACCGAAGTGAACGGAGTTCATGGAGGTAGGCCTAGGCCCACTGGGGCTGTAGTGCCAAGGGGGAAAAAAAAAAACTATTGTAATATTAAGAGCCTATAATGTCAATCGATATGTAGAGTGTTGAGTGATGAATTGCGAAGTATTGAGAAGGAAATGATGGTGGCCTAAAGGAGATAATATCCAGGCATTTTTGGAGAGACTGAAGGAAACAATGAAACTCTTCAGTCAGGTTAGCTGGTGGACCCGCCGAGATTCGAACAGAATACCGCCAGAATATAAGTCTAGATCGTTCACGCGAGACTAACCTGCTCACTTATGGCGATTTTAGCCTGATATTATGGTCTGAAGGGATTCATGCTGAGGGTAGAACGTAGGAGATCTCGGCCGCCGTGCAGAGTGGACCCAGTTGGACTCCACCCCCCACTAAGCGAAAATTAAAAAAAAAAAATCGGACGCCGTACGTGCCTTGTTATGCGCGTGGAGTCGCTATTCATGCTTCCCACCTCCAGCAATGTCGATCACATATAGCTGACAAGTTTTCAGCCTCCAGGGCTCATACGAAGTCATAAGTTGTGCGAAAACATGACATATTCACAAATTTAGAATTGTCTCTTAAAAGCTGCACTTTTCAGTAGCGTTGTCCATAGTGACCCAATACACGTACTTGGCTTTAAGAAGGAATCAAATTCTAACGGCTGTCGTTGTTAGAACGGTAAATTATCAGCCAAAGAAAGGGGCCCAGCTGTGAAAGTGTAGGTTACCACAAACCGAGAACTGATCTCAGGACTTGTTCTGATACACAACAGTTACCAATAGGAAGACGGTAAAAGTATTTTGAGGTTATATCTGGCAAATTTAACATAATCAGAACATAGGCAAAAGGTGCTCCTTGTTTCACAATTATGATGATAATGATGATGGTGATATTGAATTTAATAATAATAATAATGATCTGTAATTTGAAATTGCGAAAGATGAAATATAAGGAGCCAGAACTCTTAATAACCACCGCTATGAGAACTTCAAGTCCTGTGATGAAACAGAAGTCTGATCCAAGTAGGGTTCGATCCTNAGAAGAAATATTAATGAATAAAAGTAAAAGTAAACAAACAGATAAGTGATAATTATAACAGTAATAATAATTCCATTATCATTAAACTAAGTGCTATTACGAATAGAGGAATGAAACATTAATATTTAATTAAGAATTTAATAGTATAGATTTTCTGAGGAAAATTACGTAGTTCATTTTGCTTTACTGAACATGCAAATAATAAAAATACTAACAGTTATACTGTATTTAAAATTTGTTTGGGTAGAACATTCCTGGCTCCGAATACGTCAACCTGTAATTTGAAATTGCGAACGATGAAATATAAGGAGCCAGAACTCTTCATAACCGCCGCTATGAGAACTTCAAGTCCTGTGATGAAACAGAAGTCTGATCCAAGTAGGGTTAGCTCCTATGGCAACCAGCTAATAAGACCAGCACGCTAACCTATGAATAAGAATTCATAGCTAACTAACTAACTAACTAACTAACTAACTCCATGGAGACGAACCCTTCTTGAGAAGCTGCCAGTTGCGTACCTACTCAAGAATTTCCCAACGTTTTATGGAACCCGAAAATTCATTAACTAAGTGTCTTCTAAGTTGGTAACCCTTCTTAAATTCATTTATTCCTCTATATTTATGTTCTTGTTCTTACTGTTCCTTGAAAGCTCATTAATTTTGTCTTTCAGATATTCCTTCTTTTTTTTTTCGTGAACTCCTGCTGGCTTCACTTCTTATTTTGATCAAGCTGTTTCCATTTATTTGGCTTGGATCCTGTAATGACTGCAATTTGGCTCTTTAAAATTGCATATAACTGACAAAATTTCGTGACTGGCTTGGCGACTACCATTTTCTCAGTAGGCTATACTCTGTGAAGTTCAGTACGTACACATGATTCTTACAGAATTATATCTCTAAAACTTAATTCCTAATTGCAATATAGACGAGTTCTTACTTTATGTCAACCATTGGCAATACAAAGGCTGCGAAATATGAAATACTGTGTTTAAGGTGACGACAATTTGAAGAAGAAGAAGAAGAAGAAGAAATTGCAATTATTCAGGGTCGCGGCCAATGGCAGACATTGTGACCATCGTCACATGCAGTCAGTAGTGGATGTCATTTCTATCTATAAGTATCAATGGCTCTACAGCCCTCTGTTGGACCTTGGTCGCTTCTTCAGTTTCTTAATCCTATACACAGTTGGTGGGACTCCTTGGATGGGGGATCAGACCGTCGCAAGGTCGCAAACCTGCACACAGGATAGCACAAACAGAGAATAAACTCACACAGACATCCATGTCTCGAGTGGGATTCGAACCCATGATCCCAGTGTTTAAAAGAGCGAAGACAGTTCATACCTTAGACCGCCCGGCCACTGTGATCGGCTTGGATGTCATATCTCACCATTAAGTCAGGAATTCCATATAAGCAGAAACTGACAGAAATGTATGTGTATCATACGGATACCGTTTAAGTCGTCCTGCGCCTTTTCCCCAGAAGTGCCCCCACCACTAGCAGACTGTTGCTTCTTCGGTTTGCGCTTTCTCGTCTGGATGCCGTCCTTCCGCATGGCGAGCGGGCGATTGACGCCATGCAACTTGAAGTATAGGCCGCAAGCATTACATACGGGTTCACCTTCGTTGTTTCGACGCCATAGCGTCGTGGTACGAGTCCCGCAATTGGTGCAACACAGGCCTAAGCGTCGCGTGGCGGTCTGCAATCATTTAAACACTGCTTAGAGTAATGCACAGACAATGCTACTCAGTAAGGTGAAGTTGTATCTGTGATTAACTAATTAAGCACTATGCCATGAAGGCGCATGGTGGAGTGGATATGTAGATCCACATTTTCTTGACCTAGGTGAGTGGTCAGCTTCACGCCCATGCCGCTTTACCCCGGGGGGGGGGGGTGCGCACCCTTACGA